ATCAGGCTGAGCGACACAACCCCAGTAAGGCGGACTTACACATCCGTCCCCAAACCACTTTTGAAGGAGGTGAAGGAATATCTGGAGGATCTGCTGAACAGAGGTTGGATTCAGAAGTCCCGATCTCCATATTCATCACCCATAGTTTGTGTGCGCAAGAAAGATGGGAGCCTCCGCTTGTGCGTGGATTATCGTGAGCTGAACCGGAAATCCATTCTGGATCGTCATCCCATCCCTCGAGTGCAGGATATGCTGAATAACCTGAGTGGAAGTGCTTGGTTCTCTGTCTTGGACCAGGGCAAGGCATACCATCAAGGTTTCCTGGAGGAGAGTAGCAGACCATTGACTGCATTCATAACACCTTGGGGTTTATATGAGTGGATCAGGATTCCCTTTGGCCTGTCCTCAGCTCCAGCAGAGTTCCAGCGTAGTATGGAGGAGTGCCTCGCCGGTCTTAGGGACGAAACATCTCAGCCATATTTGGATGACAATCTAGTTCATAGCCAGTCATTTGAGGATCACCTACACGACTTAAGAGAGGTGCTGCGTCGTTATCAAGTTCATGGAGTAAAATTAACACCAAGAAAATGTGAAATCTTCAAAGACAAGGTGAAGTTTCTGGGAAAGATTGTATCCAAGGATGGCTACTGCATGGATCCTGCTGAGATCGCACCAGTACAAGCACTCAAAGACCGCATACCAAAAACAGTGGGTGATGTGAGGAAAATGTTGGGCTTCCTATCATATTATCGTCCATATATTCCCAACTTCTCACGCACTGCTAAGCCCCTGTACAGCCTGCTGTCCACAGAAAAGACACCTGTGAAGGTAGTGAAGAGAGGAGGGTCAAAAACAAATAAGGGGAAACACAAAAGTTCAGACCAGCTTCCCTCAAGCCATCCAATAGAATGGACAAAACAGCATAAGGATGTCCTTTGCCAGCTGTTGGAGTATTTGCTGTCTCCTCCTCTATTAGGTTACCCTGACTCTGAGAAACCATTTGTATTGCACTGTGATGCTTCTCAAGAAGGCCTGGGTGCAGTCCTGTACCAGAGACAAAAAGGCAAACTTGTGGTCATAGGTTATGGGTCAAGGACACTAACTTCGCCAGAAAAGAATTGCCACCTCCATTCTGGGAAGTTAGAGTTCCTGGCCATGAAGTGGGCAATCTGTGAGCGGTTCAGAGAGTACCTTTATTATGCACCCTCGTTTGTCGTCTATACAGACAATAACCCTTTAACCTATGTTTTAACATCAGCCAAGTTAAACGCCACCACACACCGCTGGATAGCCGAATCAGCAGACTTTAACTTCTCCATCAAGTATCGACCGGGAAAAGTTAATGGGGACGCAGACGGGCTGTCTAGGATGCCCCTGGACATGGAGGAGTACATGCAGACATGTGTCCAGGAGATGGCGCCAGAGGTAATCTCATCTGTCTCACAATCAGTCCAGCTAACATACCAGGATCAAGGGCCTTGGTTGTGTCCTGCAGTCATAATGGCAGCTTGCAATGATGAAGAACAGGAACACATAACACCGTCAGTGGCCAAAATATCAGCAGAGGACCTCAGACAAGCACAGGAAGAGGATCCAATGATTGGAAAGGTGCGTGAGTTTGTGATGAGAAGACAGTGGCCCCACCATGCCAAAAGAAATTGGCGTGATGGCATCTCTGTATTCGCTAGAGAAAGAAACAAACTGTGTGTCAATGCAGATGGCATCCTTTTTAGGAAGTCCTCCAACCGAATTCAACTTGTGCTGCCCAAGGTGTTCCACCAGCTGATATATAAAGAACTGCATGAAGAAATGGGACACCTCGGTGTGGAAAGAACATTGAACTTAATCCGTGACCGATTTTACTGGCCATATATGAAAAGGGATGTGGAACACTATGTGACAAAGATCTGCAGTTGCCTGAAGCGGAAGCATCCAAACAGGATAACCAGAGCACCACTGGTCAATATTGTTACAACACATCCATTTGAAATGGTCTCCATTGACTTCCTTCATTTGGAGCGTTGTAAAGAAGGATATGAATATATCCTGGTTATCATAGACCACTTTACACGTTTTGCTCAAGCATATGCATGCACGAACAAATCAGCGAGAACTGCTGCAGAAAAGATCTTTGGAGACTTTGCCCTAAAATTTGGATTTCCAGCTAAACTTCATCACGATCAGGGCAGAGAATTCGAAAATAAGCTGTTTTCTGAACTGGAAAAGTATTGTGGCATCCAGGGTTCCCGAACAACTCCCTACCATGCAGCTGGCAATGGTCAAGCGGAGAGATTTAATCGAACTCTTCTTTCAATGCTCAGAAACCTGACAGAAAAAGAAAAGTCGGATTGGAAGAGCTCCCTGTCCAAAGTGGTGCATGCGTACAATTGTACGCGCAGCGAAGCAACCGGATATGCACCCTACTACCTTCTCTATGGCAGGAGTCCTCGGCTGCCAGTGGACATGATGTTTGGGTTAACTCCAACTGATCAGAGCGCCTCTCACAGTGACTATGCTAGTAAATGGAGGAAAAGGATGCAAGAAGCTTACAGATTGGCATCTGAGACAGCACATAAGGAGCGGAACAGGGCCAAGATGGAGTATGATCGGAAAGTTCATGGAGTGGAACTGCAGCCAGGATGTCGGGTCTTAGTGAGGAATTTCAAGGAGAAAGGAGGACCAGGAAAACTCAGATCGTACTGGGAGGACCAGATCTACATAGTTACCGAAAGGAAAGACAAGGACAGTCCTGTTTATGCAGTACAACCTGAAAAAGGCACAGGGAAGACCAGAGTTTTGCATAGAAACTTACTACTACCTTGTGACTTTCTGACTGCTGACACAGAGGAAGATGTGAGAAATATGAGGGACAGGAAAAGGCAACAGCAGAGTAGAAGCAGAAGGACGAAAGGAGATTGTGTTGACAAGAATGGTGACAGCAGCTCTGATGATGAAGACAACTGGAGGTTCATCACCCAACCACGAGTACAACCTGAACCAGTTGAAGGTCAGCCGAGGAGGGATGCAGAGGATACTCAAGTGGCTGCAGAGCCAGAGGTGGAATGGGAAGGAGAAGTGGATGGAGAGGAAGTTGAAATTGGGGCAGAGGAGCACTCATCATCTGTGGCAGAAGATGGACAAGATCTTGCGGAAGCAGCGCCATCTGATGAAGCAGATGAACAAGATCCTGGCGAGCCAGTGTCATCTTTTGAAGCAGACGAGAGGGGGCCGGAATCTTCTCCACGACATTATCCGTCTAGACAACGAAATCCACCTAAAACACTCACATACAGCAGGTTAGGCCAGCCGACACTTAGGGCTAGGCACTAGGAATGTTCAGTTCATATTGGATTGAGTTACACTGTTCTATGTTCAGGTTATGGTAAATAAGTTAGATAACTTTACAGGGTAGGGAGGATTGGAATTGTAAGTTGTAAGTATATTGATAGTTGATTAGTGCACATCTGGAGTTTGGACCACTATTAGGTTGATGCATATGTATGCATATAGTGGCACACGTGGGTCTGAATAATGGGTGGCGGGTAGGGACTTAAAGTCACTCTTTACAGTCTGTGATACACAACCTTCAGAGATAGCAGAGTGACCAGAGATGTTACCTGGCCAGTAATGTCTATTAATTCAACATGACATGAAGAGGGGGATAGATGCCATGTTAAGAACTGTGCCACACAGAAAAGCGTATCAAGAAACTGTCCTCCGAACCTGTACTCATGCAAGCTGAAGTCTCAGTTCCTCCGTAGATGTCAATATGTTGGGACGACATTTATTTTTGTGGGGGAGAGTGTGGGAGACCAGTTGCCCTTGCCCCCCCATTTATGTTGAAGTGTGGTTCAATTTTGATCAGGCGCTGAGGGCAGCCTGGGTCCTAAGTTTGTGTGTGTTGTTTTTGAACAGGCGCTTAGGAGAGCTGGGGTCCTGAGTTTTCTAAGTTTCTGTATTGTTGAAGAAGGAAAGTAAAGACAAGTCAAAACCCACCGCATGTCTCAACATCATTTTTGTGTTCGAGTGTGCAACAAGTAGATGAATTTTGTGTTCCAGAAATTAATGTATTTTGTTATGAAATTAATGTATCAACTCTGGAGCAAAAGCAAAAAGCTTTTCTGAATAGACTCCTGAAGTTAGTAAGAGTTCTGTCATTCACAGTGATAGAACAAGTGGGTCCTTAACAGATGTGGGCTAGGAAGCCCCTCAGCAAGGAAGAAAACCCCAGGCCCCAAGTTTTGAAACTACAGTCAGCACACTACAAGTTGACTGGAAGCCTGTGCTGGGCTGTGTCCAGAAAGGAACATTTTCTTTCAAAAATTGGAATGGTTGGAAAACCAAATGTTCCTTTTTTCTTTTTTGCAGGGGAGTGAAAATGGCTTCCTATGGCCATGAAAATAGCGAAAAAACATATTTTGTGAAATATTAGCTGACTGACCCAAAATATAACCCTAAAAGTGTCATATATAACTACACTGGCAGATTGCTTTGTAGTTTACTAGTTTAATAATGCAAAATGACTCCAAGAATTAGCTCGATTTCATCATCACTTCAAAAGACTTCACTCAAATTTTGTGGTTTGCCATTCTGCTAATTTAATTTCATTATGTTCACCAGTAACCTCATGTGGAAGCTTTAGGTGCATGTCCCATACTTTATTCTTGCTGCCACTTACTGATTTGCAGGAGTAAAACCAGTGTTTTGGACAATTTATGGTGCTTGGATGTGCTTGAAAATATTTCTGGAAACACTCTTGTGTAGACTCGAGATTTTCTAACTGACAACCCATTTAAAAAAAACTGTGGATAGGTCCTTTAAATTAAATTCAATCATACTTAAAATCTCTGTCTAGATATAATAACATGAAACTAAGTTACTCTTTATTCTGTATTAAAATAATTCTTAGAATCCCATAGTAGGCTCATGCCTAGAACACACACACACACACCACATTTTGATATTTCAACATAAACAGCATTTAAATAAAGTAAACTTACAATATCCAACTGTTCCCAAGTGTGAAGGGACTTGTTTACCTCGGCTACATGCTGAATCTCTAAAATTCAGCAAAAACCTTCAGCAAAGATGTGTCGTTTCTTAGTGAAACACCTACAAGAGAAAGAGCAGAGAAATTTCTGTTTAGGTCACAAAAATCTCAAGGTTGTTTTTTTTTCTTTTCTTCCCAAAGACAAAATATACATTGTGCTTGTTAGTAATGGCATTTCAAATAAAAAGAAAATAATAACAATGTGCACCTTTCTTTAAAAATTTGTGGCAGGATCAGTTCTTGTGGATTGAGATCCTGCGAATACCAGAATATTTCCCACAAAACTGAAGTCTGTCTAGTGAAGCCCTTTCCAGTAGCTATCAGCATGTGACTTCATGTGAATAAGTGTATAAACAGTTATGATTACTGGATAATCATAGCTATGATAAACCATAACTATGATTATCCAGTAATCATAGTTGCTGGATATGGAAGTCTATGCTTTCAATGGGTTTTACACTGTTTCCCTGATTCCCAATATTTACCATAAAATAAAGTACTTGTTGAAGATGCACAACATATGGCGGATACATCGTCCCTGTAACATCCGTGTGAACAATATTTATCTCGTGTGGGGGTGTTTGGCTAATATATTGCAAGTGTTACGGACTTGGATTTTACATAATATAATATTGAGCTAGTTGGACAGAATCCTCCAGCAGAAGGAGTTTACACAAACACACACAACGTTGCCCAAAATGCTAAAAATCACAAAGAGATGCAAGCACTGATGAGAATGAGAGAAAAGGGGGAAAAAAGCATACATCATAATTAATCTCAATTAATTCTATAATTCAGAATTAATCCCATCATCACAACATTTAGGAATAAAATCTATATCAATAGACTTTCTAATATTGTTCACCCTACTTGTTGTGTTGACATAGTTGGCTAAAGCCTTCTCATCAGGCTGGAGCTAATTACTTGCATAATTGCTTACTATAAGCATTGAGGAAACTTCCATGTTTGGAGGGTCGTTGTAAGAAAAAAGAAATGAGATAGACAATATAGGAATAACTTGAAAGAACTACAAAAACTTGTTAGCCATTAAGGTTTCTAGAATCTGTTTACAAATTCCTATCAATCCTAAATTTACTCTTATTCAAATTCTAAAATATTGTTACTGATCAAACTTGAACAGTTACAAGGAATCTATATTATACATTTGGCATGTTTTGGGCATTAAGCTCACCTTGCAATTAGACAAGGTTAAAAACTGCAGTATATGAACTGAAACATACTATGGGTTGTTTTGCATCTGACGTAGCAAAATTGTAAAAAAAAAAAAAAAAATGCAAAACTGAAATGGTTCCCAAATGATGAGTCAGGTTGAGCAGTTTCTCAAATGTATGGTGCTTAAAATTATGCAGAGCTGCCCTTCCCCTACATGTTGCTACACAAGTTGGTTGAAATAACACAAACATGCCTATTTCAACAAAGTTACAAAGTATATGGTCAGTCAGTGTTCCTTATCAGTCCTTACTTAATCTGGGAAACCAGTGCATCTTTACCTAAAGTTATTCATCATAAATTGTACCCATCCATGAATTTAATTCAATACAGTCAATGATTATGAGATATTAATGTATCATTATCAACAAGATAGTGTCTTTATGAGTACAAGAAAATGCAGCACTCACCTCTAATTTTACTGAATTGAAGAAACACGTTTGGCATCAACATAATAGAGTAGAATTAATTTAAATAATCTAGTTGTAAACAACTATCATTTTTCGCACCAAAGAAAGCATGCTTTGTATTATGTGATGCTGAAAGCTCTAAAAACATGACCACTCTTTGCCAGAGTGACAGATTTCTAGATGCCAGGAGAATATTGTCACAATGCCACAGTTAGCATCTGCTTCAGGACTTCTTGTCAGTTCAGATTTTAAAACTCTTACTCTTCTGTACCTCTACTGAATTAAAAATGTGTAACAAAAAATCCTACCTGATTAGCTGTTAGTTAATATGCATGGTGAATAAAGAGTGTTTCTGTAATGTGGAATGCAACAGTAACTTGTGCTCCCTGTAGTTTGATACTGCAGGTCCCAACAGTCCAAAGAGCATGTTCACTGATTAAAATGAATGGGAGCACTTATGGCCACTCAAACATTAAGAGTAGCCCCAACCATGACACATGTATGCCCTACTACAAGGCTCCAAAAATGCGTTACATGATACCACTACAGCCTTGGGGTCTATTTTCATTAAACACACTCGGGTGTTTTAGTTTGTTGCAGCACTCTCGACACACAGTCACTGCTTTCTGAATGGATTCAATAAGTACTTTGACCCTTAGACGAGGTATTGTCTAGCCGCTCAGGCTCTGATATATTCTGATACAACAGAAGCAAAGTTCTCTCCAAAAACATTGACTGTCCCAATCTAGCCAACCGTCACCTCTGACCAGGGCGCAGTTCTGAGAGAGGGCAGCTGGGTCTTAGGGTCCAAGTCCTTCAAACAACAAGTGTACAGAAGTTGGCTCAACTTGCATTAACTGACCACACCGCAACTCGTTTTGTGAATGATTAGCCAGCTTGAGAGTTAAAGAGTTAAAAACGTCAATGTGTCAGGAGGAAGCATGGACTGCTCCAGCTTTCAGACATCTGACTCAAAAACAAAGATCTGTGGACAAAATACATTAGCTTGTAATGCAAAATGCTCTTTCCACTGCTGAGTGCTCCCAGTAATGAACCTCTATCAAAACTCTCACACTGAGCTAAGTACCCAGAGTCGAGAAATATTTAGATGCTTATCTGGTTATGCAGGCTTGACGTCAGAATAAAGGACGCAGGCAGATCTGGACACGAACGAACCGTAAATCCAGCCGACAACATAATTCCGAGGTGCTTTTAAGTGTCTTGTTTTTCGAGTAATGAGACTGGAGGAAAATGTTGATATGCTGGTTCCCAAAAGAGGAAATTAGTAAATATCCAAAAAGGATTCAGTTTAATGACAATGATCAACGTGTTGCATTCAGACACACCTCCTATTGCCAATCTGTTATGTTTAATGTTTAGAAGCAGAAATCTTTCATTAAAATCCCAAAGGTGACAAAAAAAAAAAAAAAAAAAAGAATTCTTTCTTAAATTTACAAGACTCCAGCAACATCTATGCTATCTGTCACATTAACTTACTTTGGCTGTCAAAAATGATTAATTTACTTGCAGCTGCAGAAGGTTTTAAAAGTTTTAGGCTTAATGCTAAAAACGTAACTCTCTCAAATGCAAATATTTAGCGATTCATTTTATGTAAAGTGATTTTAAAATTATGTATTTTGAGCAAGAATTACCATAATTTTTTACTTTTGGTCATGGAAATGTTATGAAATAATAATAATAAAAAAAACTATCTATGTTTGGGTAGCTGACTTCCGACTCAGTTTTCTCTTTCTCTTCAGTTGGTCTTTTGTTTCCTTCTAAAGAGCTTAATTACATTACAATATTTACAATAGAGCCGGGATTAATCTTACCTCTCTCCCTTACATTCAAATTTAGCAAAATCTCTTCACAAAAGTCAAATTGAAGGAAACTGCAAATGGTGTTTTACATTTTATATCCAGATAAGCCAAGGAAAATGCAGAAAGGTTGCATACAGTTAAACTTGACACCAAGCTATTGTTTCATGTTTGTTAACTAAATAATCGGAGAAGTAAAAGAGTTTGATTAAAACTGTTTTAGACCTTTTTACCTTCATCGTGGAATAAAAATACATAAAATGTTAATGAAACTCAATTGAAAAATTATCTAATCCATTCACACCACATTGCTGTGCCTTAACATTAAAATAAATAGCAATAGTCTTTATGCGGGAAAAACCTTAGCACCCTTTTAACATTAGAAAAGACACTATCTATCAGACATGAGAGAAAAGGGGGATGGGGTTAAGCAATGAGGAGAAAAAAAAAGGACTAACATCACTTCATGTTGTCTAAATGAGGTGCTAAAAGCCCATATCATTAATATCATTAATGCTGTATAAGGGCCACATGTGGCACACATCCAAGTTAAACAACCTCTCCTGTACCTTCCATGACTCCTCAGTTACTTGATGACCTCTTAAAATCCAAATCCAGTGTAGAAAATCCACAAATAGGCAGGCAGCTCTTCAAATGAAGCCCATAATACAGTAAATCCTTTTTTTGGGAAGAGTTTATCCAAGCAGCAAAGGTATGGGAGTTCAGTCCTTCCCCGCAGAGAGCTTCATCATGATTCCACACAGAAAGGATTGGGAATCCCTCAGCGGAGCAGAATCCCTCCTTCTCTCTCTGCCTCTCTATCTCACTCACATGCAAACAAACACGAATCGACACAAACCCCTCCCCCTAGTCCCCTGTGCACTCCTCTGTCCTGTGCCATTTGCCAAGCAGGAGGGAATCCACTGGGGGCTCATTCATCTTGGCCCTGCTGGCCCCCTGCAGTGACAGATGCTATTGGGGGCCTAAAGAGCTAAGATTGGTGCGTATGGGTGTGTGTGGGGGGAACAAAGACATAGTCTCACATCTGCCTGCTGCAACACAGCTCTGCCACGCGTGACCCCCGGTGCATCAAGACATCTTCTATGAGCATCGTGGAAGTTTTCATTTTCAAGAAGTCAGGGGCAAGGGGTTATGCTGGAAGTTGGGGGTTGGTGGTAGTTCCTTAAATCTTTTCTCACGCTCAAGCTCAGCTCAGCTCTTGCTACCACACCCAACATTTTATTGGGGGCCAATTTAGCGACGGGACCAAGGGGGGGATCCATCTCCAGCAAAGTAGGGACAGGAATGTTGGGTCAGCTTGAGCATTTTGTCTCCACAGTCTTACCCAGGATTGACCCCACACACCAGGCTTTTTTACTCCTGCTATAAATACCAGGGGCTCCTCCAGTCAAAATAAATAAACAGAAATGTGCCACAAATCAACAGCTGCTGGCAGATGTTGGGGATTATACATCATTTGTGATCGTTGATATCACCTTATCACCATGCTGCAAACTGGGGAGGAAACTAATCTCTTGAATTGGAGATTTACCTAAACACATCAGTATGTACAACATCAGAAATTTAGATCAAATTTATCGCAACTCAAAAAGGCATTTCTCAGTTTGAGATTCAGTCTGCATGACAATCTTGAATAAAAAATAGCAGTCTATTTTTTGAAACAATAGTCTATAACATGATGTAATTGCCTTGATTTAAAGTTATAGATCATTGATTTTCTCAGTATATTAATAACATCTGTAAGATTTAGATAACATTTTTATTTTGATACATTTACTGAAGCAAAGACCTAAAATAAATATTCACAACATTTATTTATAATTTCAGTAATGTTTGTCATGTAACAAATTTATTTTATTTAAAATATAAATAAAAGGCTGCTGATTAAAAGTCACGTGACTTGCAGCTTCCTAAATACTGTTTCAAAACCAAAACTGTGTTTGCATTCATGTCCTGAAATATTTATATAATATAAAGGTAGGAGCCCTTTATTAGTCGTCTAACTGCGACAGGGACACTTATGTTACTATATACTTTAAAAAGATAAATAGAAAATCTGAATTCTGAAATAGACTTCAATCTGTAGGAATGATATGACATCATAACTTTTTAAATTCTTGCTGTACTTATTGCCAATCAACCCAAAGAAACTACACGTTTTCATTACTTCCCCCCTAAAATATTATTTTATAATAGGCTAACCTGTAAGAGGAGATAGTCTTTCTGAAAATTCATCAGGGTCAGAAAATGTCAGCAAGAATTTGTCAGGTAAACATAAGCTCTGAGCAAACTCACATCCACTGGATGGAAGGAATTCCAGAAATGCTTTTACATCAAACGACGTGGCTTAAATTTACAGATTTTTAAATTCTTATCTTACATGAGAAAATTGCTTTAATAAGGAATTGGACTAATTTTTGGATCTAGATGAAACAGTCTTGACTGTACAAACTTTAATTGTCAAACAACTTTGAAGACATTTTTTAAATTCTTCACTTTGAGTTCAGGATTTTCTACACTCTGTGAGCGATGTTCCAGTTCATTACCACAAACACGGTCAACAGTTGTTTTAACCAAGTTGTGCGCAACTCTTCTCACCTTTGCTCCAATGGTTATATAGTGGCACTCTGAGTGTGAGGGCTGCTGTAAACAACAACATCAGCCAATCGGGGCCTTCATTAGTCTTTACAAAGCTTTCATGCACTCGTTTTCTCAAATCTACCAGACTTTCTTTTACACTGGGATTTAGTTTAACTGTGAATTTTACATGTCTGCTGCCGATTTAGACCACACATTTAAACTTCTGTGACATCTCCAGGAGTTTAGTTGAGGATTAATTTCTCTGTTACTATAAAGATGAAATCTTTACACGTATTATTCTTATAGCAGCAAGTTCAACCAGGGGAAAAGAGCTGTCAGCGTCATTTATCTCCAAGCCCCTGACTTTAACGTGGTCTGTCTTAAGCATCCTATTGAAAATGGAGATAATGAGTAAGCCCGGCATTTTCTCTTCCCACAAAGACTCTGTGCGAAAAGAAACAAAAGAGTGTAGCTTGAAAACTTTCCCGCCCCTAAGCTCATCCCTCACCACAGAACTGAGCACCAAAGAGGACAAAAGGGAAGTGGCCCTGCCAGTGCCACCAGAGGAAAGACAAGTGGAGTCACCAAAAGTAGACTCTGGGAAAGAAAAAATAGGGTTGGGGTTTTTAAATTTAAAAAAGGGGAGACCGGAAACGAGTTCTTCCAGCAGAAGTTCTTGGGACAAATGTAGCTAGAAAAGAAACATTTTGTATGGATGTAAAGAGATCTTGTAGTATGAGATGCTCCAAAGTAAAAATTGTTGGTCAAATTGCAATCCAATTGCTGTCAGCTGGAGATTTTAACTGGTGAAGTAGTTGTGAGAGACTAAGTGCATGCCTTGGACATGAAGCTGTGTGCCATAAAATTGGCACCGTCTTGCGTCCACAATTAAAATTCAACTTGCGTAAAAGTAAAAAAGGAAGTCATTTTTGTCAAATATGCTTAGAAAGTCAGCTAATAAAACTGGCAGACGACTCATAAACGTCGAAAAAGCCATCCCCACTTTGAAATAGTTTACCTAGCAGAGTTTGTATGCTTATTGGGATAATTTAATGGATGAATAAAAAATAAGAGTTATTTGAAAGCATGGTGAGAACACTTTGAGCGGCTAATGATTAGCCAATGACAACAGTTAAGACCACCTACACCATGGGGTTCACAAGTAAAAAGATTTGAACTATAATTAGTGTAGAGTTTTCCAGCGCAGTCACTATATTGTATGATTTTGTCTAACTCTAATTTGATCCTTTTGTGATTTTGATTGCTTCATATTCTCTTATATGAAATTGTCAGCTGTGGGAAATGTCTGATCTACCCATGTTCTAATTTGTGCTTCTGTGAACAACATAAAGTTTGGACTTTCTTTCTACTTATACGTTACAATTTTTAAAAAATTATACATCTCCCATAAATAACTATCAAAATGATTTCACAAAGATGTATCTCAGGTTGATATTCGATGATAATCTATCATGTTTCACAAAATTCAACTGCTGTAAACAGGGATCAGAAAGTTTTTGATAATAATGTACAATATAACAAAGTTACATGTGAAATTTGATCAATATTTCATAATTCTTAAAAATACTTGACAATACATAAACTTTGACACCATGGTTTTATGGCATTGGTACAAAATGAGTTGTTTAGAGATATCAAACAGATAAAAGACGAGAAAAATGGCAATGAGTGGCAGAAATAGGTGAGGAGGGGAAATGACCTGGAGTCATCTTGCAACACCAACAGACAAAAAACCATAACAAAACTAATAAACAAATAACACTACACAGCCATCCTGTGAAAATTCCCGTGGCAGAATTCGCTTTTCTAGAAGAGAGCAGTAGGGTATGTAACACTGTAGGTGTGAGGACTCTCGCTTCCGTTTACTGTCCGTGTGGTAGCTCTAATTTCCTTATAAAAGCCCAGAAAAAAAAATCTTCGAAAACCTTCTCCTCCTCTTACTCCTCGGGACTACCTGCTGGGCCCTGAAGTGCAAATTGCAGCTAGTGAGGATAGCAGATGAGTTAGGTCATTCATGGCTTTCCAGTGAGCCAAACAAACAAAGACAAACATTCCAGCTGAATGCCATTGCTGAAGTCAGCAGCAACACATAGAAAAAGAGAGACAGTGCAGGGCAGGGCTCAGTGAAAATAATGGCTTCAGGGTACGTGCGTGTTTGTGTGCGTGTGTTTGCCTGTGTGTGAGTGTCTTTGTGGGCATGTGCTCGCACGTGCACGTCTGTGCCTGTGAGTTCTGGGGGGGATTATCTGTGGAACTATAAAGTGGGGTGAAACAGGGTTTAAAGCCTGATGTGGCCAGAGGGAACGGGGGTAGGGCCTTTGGGCCTGAGCTGGGGTGGACAAAAGGAGCATTTGGGCAGATGAAGAAGTCATCATCATTAAGCCACTGGAGGTTTACTGTCCAGTAATAAAGCTCATTTTAAAATTAGGGGAAAGGAGGACTGTGTGTGTGTGTGTGCATGTGTATAAAAGGACAGAGAAACTGGTGAAGCCTTGGAGAACGGTCTAGTAACTTGCTGTGGAACATATAGGAGCTAATTCATTGGGGGACAAGAAGGCTTTATGTTACCAGCGGGTTGATTAGAGTGGTGACCTTGCCACACACTGCAGCCTAGAGGATGAGTTTAAGGGCAAGGTATTTAACCTTAAACTAAATCTCAGCCACAGACAAAGGCCAGCATAATTTTATGCTAAATGCTTATCAAACAGAGAAGTGATGCAGCACAAATGGAAAACAAGCTTAGTTAAAAGACACAAATTCAGAACAACACTGCTTTGTGCAGCTGATTTTTTATTTTATGTAGGAAAGTCTTACATAAAACAACCTTCGGAATGTGGGTCGAAGGATGTTATCATGCGTGCAACTGGAAGTATAACTACTGGTCAATTCATTGATTAACGAATCAATATAGAATCTGTAAAGGATTGATTAAAAAAGTTTCCACAATTTCAGAAAAATACGATGCTTTAGCATCTCATTTTCAGACTGAGTTGAAAGTGTTTGCACTTTGCTCTGCTCATCCAAACAAAGTTTTTCAGTCTTATTTATATTACACCGATAAATACCCAACTCGTAAAACAAACAGTAAAATGTGTTTATTCAGCTATCTGCTGCACAACATCCTGAACATCTGGCTGCCTTTTGAGCCAG